GTCATGGTGGAGGACACGCCACGTGGTTGTGGCTCCGGTCATGGGTTGTAGTAATATTTCACTTTGTGTTCTCTCTCATGTCTCATAGATGTGACTCTGCCACCTGGACACGCCACGGCGCCGGGCACTACCCTCCATCCAGGCTCTAATCTCTCTGGACGTGTCGGAGAACCAGGAATATATCATCTATCCCAACCAACAGGTAGCCCGGGAATACAGCTCAAGACACCTGCGGAGGAAACTGGCCCGGGACCGGCAACTAGCGGTCAGCCGGGCATTCAGAAGGAGCCATCTGTCAGTGGAAAGCCGGGCATTAGAGTCCCAGAAAGACCTGAACACCGAGAGGAGTCTACAACCCCGGAATTCGGAGATGTCTCCCCCGGTTCTCCTGGTCTGCTGATGATGACTGCTCCACCTATGCTGACTGATGATGCATCCGGCATCACTTTACCCATGGCTGCCATCACGCACCCGGGAGGAGGCATTACTGGAGGTCCCGGAGTTCATCCCAGCCCCCATCAGACCGGCGTTCCTGGGCTTGCTGGTAAGGACGAGTGGAGTACAGCTGTAGGTGGCACTTCAGGACACACAAGGTTGCCGCCATTGAGTGTAGGACAAGAAGCGCCGGGAACTCCTCACACGAGAGTTTCGGAAAACGATGGTGAGAGTGTAACTCCAGTTGGGGTAGGGACCGGCCACCCTGGTCTATCAGCCGGGCCCTCAAGTCTTCCAGAGCAAGCGCAGAGTCAGCCCGGAGTCTCGCCATACCAAGGAGAACCAGGAACTGAAGAAGCCCCAACGTCCAACCCGGCCGGAGCACATAGTCCGCCTCTGGAAGGAGTGCTGTCCACATCTCAGTATAATGAAACAAGCCTCCTCACCCCCACACCAAGCGGCGCCCCACGGGAGATCTTTGTGGTCCCAGAAGGACATCATTCCAGCTTGAAGCCCGCTTCCGGGTCCGTCGTCAATGGGAAGGAGCCTGTTGAGGTTCCTCCTGAGAGGGTCCCTAATGAAGAGGGTCATGTTAGACCGGGGGGCCGCGAGGGCTTTCATGCCTCTCATACGGATGAAAATGACTTATTGGACATGACATTGATTTGGCGTTGGCCTAGCTCCAGGTACGGCGGTGTATATCGGTCAGAACACCTTCTCGGGTTTGTCTTCGGTATATATTCCCGGTGTGGTTGTGTGGGAGCTGGTTTTGGCTCTCTGAGTCACATGATAATGGTGGAGGACACGCCGTGTGGTTGTGGCTCTGGTCATGGTGGAGGACATGCCGCGTGGTTGTGGCTCTGGTCATGGTGGAGGACACGCCGTGTGGTTGTGGCTCTGGTCATGGTGGAGGACATGCCGCGTGGTTGTGGCTCTGGTCATGGTGGAGGACATGCCGCATGGGTGTGGCTCTGGTCATGGTGGAGGACACGCCACGTGGTTGTGGCTCCGGTCATGGGTTGTAGTAATATTTCACTTTGTGTTCTCTCTCATGTCTCATAGATGTGACTCTGCCACCTGGACACGCCACGGCGCCGGGCACTACCCTCCATCCAGGCTCTAATCTCTCTGGACGTGTCGGAGAACCAGGAATATATCATCTATCCCAACCAACAGGTAGCCCGGGAATACAGCTCAAGACACCTGCGGAGGAAACTGGCCCGGGACCGGCAACTAGCGGTCAGCCGGGCATTCAGAAGGAGCCATCTGTCAGTGGAAAGCCGGGCATTAGAGTCCCAGAAAGACCTGAACACCGAGAGGAGTCTACAACCCCGGAATTCGGAGATGTCTCCCCCGGTTCTCCTGGTCTGCTGATGATGACTGCTCCACCTATGCTGACTGATGATGCATCCGGCATCACTTTACCCATGGCTGCCATCACGCACCCGGGAGGAGGCATTACTGGAGGTCCCGGAGTTCATCCCAGCCCCCATCAGACCGGCGTTCCTGGGCTTGCTGGTAAGGACGAGTGGAGTACAGCTGTAGGTGGCACTTCAGGACACACAAGGTTGCCGCCATTGAGTGTAGGACAAGAAGCGCCGGGAACTCCTCACACGAGAGTTTCGGAAAACGATGGTGAGAGTGTAACTCCAGTTGGGGTAGGGACCGGCCACCCTGGTCTATCAGCCGGGCCCTCAAGTCTTCCAGAGCAAGCGCAGAGTCAGCCCGGAGTCTCGCCATACCAAGGAGAACCAGGAACTGAAGAAGCCCCAACGTCCAACCCGGCCGGAGCACATAGTCCGCCTCTGGAAGGAGTGCTGTCCACATCTCAGTATAATGAAACAAGCCTCCTCACCCCCACACCAAGCGGCGCCCCACGGGAGATCTTTGTGGTCCCAGAAGGACATCATTCCAGCTTGAAGCCCGCTTCCGGGTCCGTCGTCAATGGGAAGGAGCCTGTTGAGGTTCCTCCTGAGAGGGTCCCTAATGAAGAGGGTCATGTTAGACCGGGGGGCCGCGAGGGCTTTCATGCCTCTCATACGGATGAAGGTTTGTAATGTGCTTGAGGGGACCTCCCGTTACCGCTGTCCGTGTGGTGTGTACCGTATGTTGTATGTGATGCAGGAGATTATTGAGGGACCAATCAGAATGGTGATCGGAAATCCTGGTGTGAGATGTGAGAGGGACTGTTTGTATTCCAGGACCGGCCGGCACATCGGACCTGACCACGGAGCGTCCCACGAGTTCTTGCCGCGTGGGTCAGTTCGCTTGCTCGGCCTTCGGCTGTGTGGACGCCGCCGAGGTCTGCGATGGAGAAGAGGACTGCGGCGATGGTTCCGATGAGCGGCTCTGCGGTGAGTCTCAGATTTCTCTGTCCGACGGGTCTGAGCGGCCAGAACCCTCTAGAACTTTCCGTTGTCCCTCCAGGCACTTCTGCAGTCGTGGTCTCCGCTCCCACGTGGCTTCTTCCCACGCTAGGCCCCGGCGTGTGCTCGCACCAGCAGTTTACTTGTCGCTCGGGAGAATGCGTGTCATCGGAGCGGCATTGTGACCTCCGCCGCCACTGTGCCGATGGTTCCGATGAGGAGGACTGCGGTAGGTCCATCACCTCTGCTGGGTCCTTCTGATGGGACCATAAACCTGTATTGTGCGTCTCACGTGGTGTTGTCCTTCCCCCCGCAGTGGACTGCATCCTCTCCGCCTGGACGTCCTGGAGTGAGTGTAGTCGGTCCTGCGGGTTGGGAGTCAAGTTCCGCCGGCGGGACGTCATCAGGGACCGGCTGCCGGGGGGTCATTGTGCCGGAGCTCAGTTCGACAGTCAGAGCTGCTTCGTGCAGGCGTGTCCAGGTAGGTGAGCGCGGCGGTCCCCGGAGACGGCGGGAGAGTGAAATATGGATGTGATATGGAAGAGGAACCCAAAAAGTCCCATCCAAAGTCCCATCCAAAGTCCTGAAACATCTCCGGAACTTCTGACAGAAACCTTCCCTCCAACCTGTACAGGATGTGTAACAGTTCTGAAAGGTTCTAATTCTAAAGATAGACAGGACTGTCCTATATGTCCCCTCTACTCAGGACTGTCCTATATGTCCCCCTACTCAGGACTGTCCTATATGTCCCCCTACTCAGGACTGTCCTATATGTCCCCCTACTCAGGACTGTCCTATATGTCCCCCTTCATCCCTCATAATAGGAACCCCTGGTCATGTGACGTTCATCCCTCATAGTAGGGACCCCTGGTCATGTGATGTTGATCCCTCATGGTAGGGACCCCTGGTCATGTGATGTTCATCCATCATAGTAGGGACCCCCGGTCATGTGATGTTCATCCCTCATAATAGGAACCCCTGGTCATGTGACGCTCGTCCCTCATAGTAGGGACCCCTGGTCTTGTGATGTTCATCCCTCATAGTAGGGACCCCTGGTCATGTGACGTTCATCCCTCATAGTAGGGACCCCTGATCATGTGACGCTTGTCCCTCGCAGTGAATGGCGCCTGGTCTCCCTGGGGGGAGTGGTCGGCTTGTGACGCGCCGTGTCGAGGAGGGGTCCGCTCCAGGGACAGGAAGTGTGAGAATCCTCCACCCAAGAACGGGGGTCTCCTGTGCCGCGGGGAATCTGTGCAGACAGAATCCTGCAACTTACAGCCCTGCGGGGACTCACAAGGTCGGTGTGGACTGTCGGCTGTCACATGACATGATGGTTCTGGTTCAGTCCACGTTCTTGTCATTGGACTTTCTGCTGCTTTGTGTCCACAGACTGCGGCCCGGAGATGATCTATGTTCATGCCGGAGAATGTGACTCAGAACACGTGGATCCGTGTCCCATGACCTGCCGCAGCCTGAACGCTGAGACCCACAGGCGAACGCGGCGGAATATTTATTCGCCGGGAAATGTCACGGAACACCTGAATCACATGATTGGGAGGGGGAGGGGCCAATACTTTTGGTAATATAGTGTATATCATATATGGGGGGCGGAGGCTTCTCCCGCTGTGTCCATGAGAAGACGGAATGGTGTCCCCGGTATCCTCTTCCCTCTCAATGCCGCCATGTTGTCCCTTTGTCTTGCAGGATGCCGCTGTCCCCCGGGTCTGTACCTCCAAGATGGCGGCTGCGTGAATATCAGCCAATGTCGCTGTGATGTGGAGTATGGCGGCACCCAACTTCCGGGGGAGACTTTCAGCCATGACAACTGCAGCGTGTGGTGAGGACCAGCGGGGGGGAGCGTTCACTGTAATACCAGCTCTGGGCCAGATTCAGGTGTAGTAGCTGTGATCTGATTGGTTACTCCGGGCACATCTCCGATTCCCGTCTCGGGTGTACAAAGCCACGATGGTGATTACTGATCCTAAGAGCCCCCCGAGATCATCTTCACGGGCCCCGGGGCCACACTGTGGGCGACGTTTGGGTGTCATGTTGATGCTCTTCCGCTGTCCACATCAATGTCATGTCTTCTAATTCTCCCATTTCCTGTCCTCTCCCCCCCC